ACAAACAAAGATGTTGTGTCTGCCGAAAACTAAAAAAATAAAATAAAATATTAAAAAATTTAAAAAAAAAAACTTAAGCTGAAATTTTGCTCTAGAGCTTTATATTTGAAAGTGTTTTGTATCAATCAAATATCCATCAAACTAATTTGCTACATTGTTTTAGTAGTAATTCACATTTTCCCTCCTTGCATTTACAGGCTTCAATTCATATTTTCTTAACTGTTAGGTGCAGGTTATAACAAACTTTGCTGATTAAGTATCTCTCAAAAGGCAGTGCTGTCTTCAGTGAGTGTTTTTGGATCAACAGCTCTGATTACCATTGTTCTTTTAAAGCAAATATTCACCAAAGTTGTAATTTTTTAGCCCTGGTGACATTAATATTTAATTGCAGGGCTGAGGCTGGGAAGAAAGGGTTAACTTTTCATTTGCTCTCATCTGTTTTGAATGCCAAAATCTTACTACATTTCTTCTTCCAGTGGCACACTTTGGTCTCCTTAGTCTTAGACTTTTTCTTAGTAGGACATTTCAAACCCTTCATGACTTTTCTAGATCCATTTTCCTGTTTCCTATAACCTGCCCTCCCACACATCTAGATATTCATTTTTCCCTTACCATGTGCTGACCTCTTCCATATCTCTGCCTTTGCTTTTAATATTCTATTTGTTGGAAAGCCAGTGTTGGGGATTAAACCCAAGGTCTTGAAAATGCTCTAACTCTGAGCTACATCCCCAGTCCTAGAAAGTCCCTCCCCCCCCACACCTTTTTTTTTTTTTTTGTCTCTGCTTATCCAACTTCAKCTATTCTTCTAAGCCCCAGGTACAATGTCTCCTTTTCCATGAAGCTTTCTCTGATCCCAGTCAAAAATAATCCTCTTAAACTCCATTGCACTTTCTCCTGGGATACTTATCACATTGTCTTTTAGGGCTGTTTGCATGTGGCATATGTTACCTCCCCAAGGAGACAAACTGCTCCTTGAAAGCTGGGTTCTAGCTTTACCCATCACTGAAATACCCACACCAGTCATATACCTCCACACAGTAGGAGCTCAGTTATGTTCATCGGATGAATTGTCAGTCACCTTCTTGAGAGTGTCTTTATTTTGTATTATCTTTTCAATCATTTGAGCAACTGTTATCTATAAGAGCTATGAATGAGCTGTGCTGTGAAACCCAAAACACTTCACCCCATGTTGATATAGTTAGAAAGTTTATGGTCTGAGAAAAATCCATGCCTTTTAAACCTCAGAGGGCAGGTGTATTAACAAACTACAGAATTTTCAAATAAATGAAGAATTCCATTACCTCACTATTGGTGTTGATGAATTGGCCTCTGACGACACTTAAGCATCAAAACACACAGTGTCTTTTCAGGTGAGAGACTGACATGAGTGATTTGATTAACTTTTAGAAAAGTCTTATGAGAAAGGACTGTTGAACTTTCCCCAGTTTGTTTCTGAATATGTCCTGTATCATATAAAGTAGGCCAGTCTTTTTCCATAACTTGTTTCATTATTGTCTCTAAGTGTTATTTCTTAGGCACTAATTGGGTTCACACTTAGAGGTTACAAATAAAGAATCGTAACATTGAATCACATTAGAGATCAGGTAGTCAGCCTTCTGTATGAGCTGTGTTCCCAAACAAACATTTATTCAGTAATGGGCAAGTACTCTACTTTTTGAGGTCAGTCGTTTGTTCTATTATTCAAGCAGTCGTGGTCTTTATCCTTCTCCTCCTCCTCTTCCTCTTCTTCCTCTCCTCCTCCTCCTCCTCCTCCTCCCCCTCCTCCTCCCCCTCCCCCTCCCCCTCCCTCTCCCTCTCCCCAGCAGTACTTAATCACTGAACCACATCCTCAGCCCTTTTTGTTTTTTATTTTGAGACTAAAAGTTACTGAGGCTGCCCTTGAACTTTCAGTCTTCCTGTCTGACCCTCCCACGTCGCTGAGATTACAGGCATGAGCTTCCATGCCCAGCTGTCATTCAGATCTTGTTGTTCACTATTGAGTAAATCTTTCTCCCTCTATGGCCCACCCCTTGGTTTTAATTCACACTCTTGGATAAACAGTCTAGTCACTTCTCTGTTATGTTTAAGGCCCCTCTCCTATTTTTCTCCAAGTTAGATGTCTTCTTATCTTTCATCTCTTCTACTTTTCTCTCTTTAAATTTTATTTTATTTTTAATTGACACATAATTATACATATTTAAGGGGTATAATGTGGAACCAGGGATTGAACTCAGGGGTACTCGACCACTGAGCCACATCCCCAGCCCTATTTTGTATTTTATTCTGAGACAGGGTCTCACTGAGTTGCTTAGTGCCTCGCCTTTGCTGAGGCTGGCTTGAATTCGTGATTCTCCTGTCTCAGCTTCCTGAGTCACTGGGATTACAGGTGTGTGCCACTGCACCCAGCTATAATGTAATTTTTTTTTTTTTTTTTGGTGCTAGGGATTGAACCCAGGGCCTTGTGCATGTGAGGCAAGCACTCCACCAATTGAGCTATAGTCCCAGCTCTAATGTGAAATTTGATACATGTTACATTATTTAGTAATCAAGTCAGAGTAATTAGCATATCCATCGCCTCATTATATATACTATTTCTTCAGGATGAGAACATTGAAAATCTCTCTTCTAGCTGTTTGGAATTGTTATAGTTAAAGCTTTGTCCCGGAGTTTCATAAACTGACTTCCAGACCACTCATGTATAATCAAATCAAGCCTTTATTGAAGCACACTAGTGGCGGCTGACCAGAACATAAAGCTGTTCCCCTGATCAGCCCYGAACAATTGCAGGGGTGCTCCTTATAAGACTGAAAACCGCAAAAGGAATGTTGGAGATCTAGCCAATGCAAGCAAGCAGGTTACAGAAGCCGGAGAGTGCAGTCAAGTGGCGGGAAGCCTAACCAATCACAGTTAGCCCAGTCAACCCAGTTATAGAAACAGAGTCCTGTTATCCTAGTTACAGAAACAATGCCCCATTAGGTAGTTCCGTGTTCTTAAAGGTTTCTATAGCAATAGGAAAAGAACATCACCCCAGTCATGACCCTTCTACTTKGCATGGTCGTTCTACAGGATGAAGTCATAAAACAAAATGGAGTCACATTTGCTTCTACTATCATAGAATATATAATATATTATTGTTAACTGTGGTCACCCTATTGTGCAGTGGAACACCAGAACTTATTCTTCCATCTAACTGTATCCTTTTGTCTCTTAAAATATAATGTTCAAAACTGTAGTCAGTAGATTCTGCTATTCCAAATAGATCTTGATCTGTGCTGAGTAGAACCAAAGTCTCACTTTGCATGTTGAGGATATAGTTCCAGAGCTATATCTAAAATCACTTTAATTGGGAGGCAACATAATCATTTTGTTGACTTTACCTGTAAGATGTTTTCACATGTAGGTAGTTGTGTCTCATCTATCCTTGTACCCCTGCATTTGTTCTTCAGCCATTGACACAGCCTGTTTGAAATATTTTTGGCTCATGGTTGGGTCATCTAGCATATTTGTTTTTCTGTCTAGCTTCTTGTCATTTGGCAGTTTGATAAGTATGTTTTCTTTCTCCATCTTAGTCATGAAAAGAGATGTTTAGGCAGGCCAGGCTGGAATCGTCCCATTGTACCACGCTGTTGCTAGTAGATTTTAATGGGCAGGATTAATTACATTAGGAGAGAGAATTGTCAGTTTAGACTGATCATTCCATAATTACAGCAGGAATTGTCTTTTAGGTGACTGGTCTGTTGTAGCTACTTAACAATTAATGATAGACAGTAGAAATCAGTATGGTTATAAAATTAGGAACCAATTTGAGAGGTTGGTGATCTTGCTTATATTCTTATATATAATTAAATATAATATTTATTAGTTAATAAAATATAACATTTATCTTCATATTTGAGGTTATAAGCAGAGAACCCTCTGGCTATGTGGCATAGGGAAAGGGCCCTAAACTTGGCCTTATTATGTTTATTCATTTAGTTATTCAGTACGTATCTATTGAATGTCTTCTACATGGAGATACAATGTTGAAAAAAAAACAAAGCTTGATCTTTGCTTTCAGTGGAATTTACATCAAGTGGGTGAAACAATTTAATAYTTTTAAAAAAGTAATTATAATACTTTCTATGATCTGTGTTCTAGACAAGTGTTATCGAACAGAAATACAATGCAAGCTATTCCTGTAATTTAAAATTTTGTTGTAGCTAAGTTTTTTTTTTTTCCTCTTATTCCAAGGATTGAACCCAAGGGTGCTTAACCACTGAACCACATCTCCAGCCCTTTTTAAATATTTTATTAGAAACAGGGTGTCACTGAGTTATGTAAGGCCTTGCTAAGTTGCTAAGGCTGGATTTGAACTTGGGATCCTTGGGGTCCTCCTGACTCAGCCTCCTAAGTGGCTGAGAGTTTTAAAAGCAAAAAGGAACAAATGAAATTAATAATATATTTTATTTAACTCATCTGAAATATTATTTCAACATGAAATCAATTTTAAAAATTGGATATTTTCTCTTCTCTTTCTTGGACTAAATCTTTGAAGTCTTTGGATTTATTCACATTTAAAGTGCTCAATAGCCACAGATTTCTAGTGGCTACTATAGGGACAGTGTTGTTCTTTACTCAGTAAATAGATGACTTTGTGGTGTCAGGAAAATTACTTTTATTCTTTAGGATTCCTGTTTCCATCAGTACAATGAAGGGTTCAAATTTGCTTATCTTCTCACAACTAAATATGGTCTTTTCCACGTGTGAGGGAGCCTTCTGAGGTGCTCTGAATAACCCATATCCATCTGGGTGATGCTTTCATGGATAATATTGTGTAAAAATTCATCAAACTGTACAGTTAAGGTTAATACAGTTTATAAAGTCTGCATTGTATGTGAATAAACATTTTTTTAAAAAGGTCACTTCCAGTTTTTTGATTCGATGCCCTTTGCTAAAATCACTCTGATGTAAATGTAAGGTGTGAACAATGCCTAACAGCCTCTCTGTCTTCTTCCCACTAGGATGTGTCTAGTCCGAATGAAGCAGGAAGGCCGGAGTGGGAAATATATGTGTCGTATCATAGTTCATTTTATGTGGGAAGATGTTGAGCAGCGTGGCAGAGTCATGGGGGTAAGTGCTGGATGTCAGATCTGGATCTGGACAACTCTGGTGAGGGATTGCCTGACTGGAGTGTGGGGTTTTATCTGTTTTAGAGTGGCCTTGCTTTGGATTTCTGTGAAAATGCTGCCTTATGTCTAGAGGCATTTCAGCTGGTGTTACTTTTCTACCTCTATTGAGACTGACACACTACAGATACATTACGGGTTATACATGTTATTGTGGTTTATCAGTGTGAGGACATCCTGGGTATGGAGAGGGGTTACACGTCCCAAATCATGGTGATGGAAGGGATGGAATGGGTAAAGAAGGGAATCAAATACTAATCCAGTTTAAGGACACTTTGCTTTTGATACTAATGTAATATGTGAACCAGTTCTGATATAAAAATCATGTTATAAATATTTCAGTTCTTGCACTATTCTCAGGAGCTGAAAAAGCAAGCTCCTCGATCACTAGCAACATAGAAAACTTCAGCAGAATATCCACTGAAAACATACATCAGTACATTTAATAATTAGCCTTATAAAGGAGAGTATATGGTATATATGTCACCAGGAGTATGACAGTAGAAGAATAAAACCAAAACATTGGGATACTATTTATTATATAAACAGTAATTTTGTCTATTTTTGTCTCCATACTTGATCATGCCAAAAGACTGAGAAGCAATTATGTTTTATCTCTAGACCATTAATTTTTAGTAGTTCCTTGTTATTTCCTAATTTGTTATCTTCCAGCTTGGGAAAACCATCTGACTGGGTCACAAAATGGTTTAATTTAATAGAAAAGTCACACATGCTCATAGAATAAAAACAAGCAGTAGAAAGTACTTAATGTAAAAAACAAGTGTATTTTTCTTATTTCAACTCCCCATAAGTAACTGCAGGTCAGAATTGATGTATATTTTTCTAGTGTTTTCTATACAAATACAAATATATAAATTTATATTCTTTTAACRTGACACAGGTGGGCTTATACTATGTACTCTATTCTGAGTCTTGGCTTTTTTCACTAATATGTATTAAAAATGTTTTTACTYACACTTGTTTTTTTAAATTCAAAATGTGTTAACTAAGGCTAAAATTTCTTTAAACATCAATCTCAATCCTGGCCATTTATCTCTTTCCAAGAAATAACTACCATTTCCATTTTGGTGTGTATCTTTTTTTTTTAAATTAAAAAAAATGTTTTTTAGTTATAGGTGAACACAATATCTTTATAATGTGGTGCTGAGGATCGAACTCAGTGCCTCACGCATATGCTAGGCAAGCGCTGTACCTCTGATCCACAACCCCAGCCCTGGCGTGTATCTTTTAAGACTCTTTCCTATGCTATCTATAGAAAATATGTAGTGTGTTTTCTTTATGTACTTATATGCAACTTTCTTTCCATGCTTCATGTTTTACTTTTATTTATTGTAACTATCTTCACACATTCCTATGCTATTGTCTGTTGGCATTTGTGTTTATTCTGTGTGTAAAATTGTAGTCTTTGAGACTACATCATGGAGGGGATGGTTGCCTCTTGGGAACCTGGGTTGAGGGTTTTTTCAGATTCTCATATGTCTTTGAAGGAGCTGCATCTATAGGAAGCTTGGCAAACATGGGTTTGCTTAAGTATTTTCATTGACATTTACATGGCATTCCCTGGGACAACAGGCGGTTGGCATTTTCTGTTCATTCTTAAAAAGTGGTAACATGTATCAAAGTTTTAACTGCAAACATCATTATCATCATCATCATCATCATCATTTTGAAATCAGTATTGAACTTTCTTTGTAATTGTCTCTAGTTCCATTTTCATTTTTCTCACTGTTGCGCTTATCAGCTGTCTTGGCTGTTGAATGAAATCAGCAACCTTTAAGCTATTCATGCAGCTGACTGTTCCACATGCCCTCAAGTTCTCAGTATGCAGTTCTGTGGCAACACRCAGCATCCCATTTAATGATGACCAGTGATACCCTCTGGCCAGCCAAAGCCTTGGCTCACTGCCAGCCACTTGGTCACGCAGTAGCTCTTCTATTAGTGAACTTGTTTTTCTTATCACTGTTGACTAAACTCTGCTGGAAGTTGGGCCACTGGAGCCATGTGGGTCACAGCTGTCCCATCCTGAATAGCTTAGTAAGCCATAAATTGCTGACTCCTGGACCACAGGAATCTTTTCATTGTCCCCCACTTCCATGAATCTCCTTTCACATCTCTATCACAATATTCAACATTTCGAGCCCTCTCCTGTGTTATTTTTGTGTAATCTCCCTTCTATTTAACTGTAGGCTTTATAAAAGCAGGAAGCTGTCTTGTTCAGTTTTTTGCTTATGTAATAAACATTGATTGAATATTTGTCAGAATGAGTCAGTAAATTGAACTTCTGCCTCTGGAATTCTGGTTTTTGTTTTTGTTTTTTTGGTTTTAGGGATTGAACTCAGGGGCACTTGACCACTGAGCCACATCCCCAGCCCTACTTTGTATTTTATTTAGAGACAGGGTCTCACTGAGTTGCTTAACGCCTCACTTTTGCTGAGGCTGGTTTTAAACTCGTGATTCTCCTGCCTCAGCCTGCCGAACCGCTGGGATTACAGGCATGCACCACTGTGCCCAGCTTGGAATTCTGTTTCAAAGTCACCTTATTTATCAGATAAATCATGCCTGATTTACTAGTCTCTGGTCCATTTGTACATCAGTGCAGTCCTACAGGAATTAGTGTGCGCCTATTTTATCCAGCCTTCCCCCCCCCCATTTGCTGCCCTGAAAGGAAGTGTTTTAGATCAGTGTTCCTCAGACTTTAATGTGCCTATCTATAGTTTACCTGAGGATCTTATTAAAATTAAAATACAGATTCTGATTCAGTAGGTTTTGGGATGGGGTCAGAGAAGTGATTTTTTTTTTTTTTTTTTTTTTTTTGTACTGGGAATTGAACCCAGGGGCACTCAAGCACTGATCTGTTCACCCTATCCTTTTAAAAAATTTTGAGGCAGGAGTTTGTTACGTCACTGAATCCTCCTGCCTTAGCCTCCAGAGTTGCTGGGATTATAGGCATGTACCACCATGCTAAGAATCTACATTTCTAAAAAGCTTCCGGGTCGTGCTAATGTTGCTAATGATGCAGGATAGGGGAGGAGGTAGCCACACTTTGAATAGCAAGGTTGTAGGTGATTCCTTTAGTACAGGTTCTTAAACTGCCTTCATGAAGAGAAATGCCGAAGCTCTGATTTAGTTATAAAGACTATAAGTAAAAAACAATGATTTAAAATAATAGAGATTTGGAAGAGTTGAGGAATTACTCTTATTGTTTTTCTATTATAATTGACTTGATCCCGACCTTTCCAACCTCATGGTATAAACAGACCCCTTTGTATAGCAAGACATTAGTACATTAACCACGTCTGAGTTGTATGTGTGTAGAGGGAATCTCAGTCTTCTGTGAGCATACAACTGGAAGAAATGGGACATGTGGCTGGAGAAAAGTAGTAGGTAACATGGAGCCAGTCTGGCCKGGTACTCACCCAGACTGGTAAGTCTTTCCTCTTTGTATCTTCTGTGCCTCATTTCTTCATTAAAAAAAAGCACCAGGTGGTGATGGGTCTAACTACATGATTTCCAAGTTTCTTTTCAGCTTTGAAAACCTATGATTTGAAGGTGGTAATTTGCAAATCTATCTCTGTGTTATTTGGCATCTCAGTTATACCTCTGTAAGAAAACCCATATAACAAGTAAAATTTTTAAAACAGATCAATATAGTGGTGATTTTTCTCATGTGAAAGAATTCTTAGAGGCCATTACTTTGAGTGGGTTGGTGTGGGTAAGATCAAGAACCATGAGAGCCAATGGCAAACTAATGAATCAGAAATTTTAATCAACAACTCCTTTGGAATTAGAATTCCAATCAAGAACTCCTTTGACATTAGAGTTCTCATTTCATATAGGTGGGAGAACTTTCATTTTACCAAAGTTTTCTTTTTACCAGCTTTTTAGGAGCCCAACGATTGCAAAAATGGGGCAGACTCATATATCATCAGTGAAGCTGGTATAAAAAGCAAGTGTTAAATTTGAGGTTTAAAAAATCACATCAATAATTTAGAGTGTTCTGACTTTTAAAAAAATATTATTTGGGATTTAAACATATAAATTAGCTGTGGAAATAAAGTTCATTATATCACCTCATCTGGTCTTGTTTTATTTCATTAACTGGTTCTTAAAAACCTTTGTGAGCTGAGTTGCAGCTGAAGAGGTTGGAGACCATTTTTCCTTGGGCCCTTGCCGCACTCCTGAGTGTTGGTAAGAGTAAGAACTAAGACTTGACACAGCTGTAAAAACAGACAGCGCCTTTGGCCTCAGCACTTTCTCCTAGTGCAGGCAGATTTTAGATGTAAATTTCACTCTCTGCTTCTCTCTACTAATGAAGTAAGTTTCTTTTGCTGGGTTTGCAGCCAGGTGTGTCCAGTCTTGTGGCTAACCGGGGCGCTTTACTTAATTTTTCCATTTGTGACATTTCAACCAAACTTAAAAAACAAACATAAAAATTAGCTCAAGGCAGTGGCTCAAAGTGTTAATGGTAACCTTAGGCTGACTAAATGACTTCCTCTCAGTTCTGCTCTGCCAGACATCTCCACCTTGTGGCTTACAATGAACCAGGTTTAAGCTTTCCAAGCCAGGGAGGCAGAGGTGGGAAGGGGTGGGAGTGAGCTGTACTTCAGAAATTACAATTCATCCTATCGGTGGTCCTTGGCATGCCAGTTGCCTCAGCAAGACTTCAGATGATTTCTTGATAGTAGTATGACAGAATAAGAATGAGCCTACTTTCATCACCTGGTCTCCTGCTCTCACCATAGCAGAGCTGCTTGATGGAATGGTGCAGAGGGAAAGGTGGTAAAGCTGTGGGCTAAACTGGACTCCTTCGTTAACTTCTGCCTCAGAACAGTGTTTTGCATTGCAAGGTTCTCAGTGATCACACTCCAGACCACCTCTCCAAACTCATTTCCCCTAGTTCTTGAACCTTAAATATGTGAAACT